AGAACATGGGCGTGCTATGTGATGTGTGAACAATTAAGATGTGGTGTTGTACTAGGTTGATGTTGTATATTTTCCTGTGTGTAACTCAACATGCAGCTAAACCATTCTATTTTGCAATAAGCCAGACTGAATGTAATCTTGAAGCTTTATTAACAAAACAGAGTGTGTGAAACTATTAGAAATAACAGATAAGAAGTACATTTAATCAATATATGAAATATACAAATACAATGCAATGGTTAAGCTGTGGATGGCAATAAGTCCATGCTCACCAGCAATGCTGCCTGTAGAGGATGTAGGTTTAGTCCACATGTGCTCTAATGACTGGTTCCCTCTCTCTCAGTTTCTTAGATGGAGTCTGAGCCCCCAGGATTCATCTGTTTCTTTTTCTTATAATTATTTTTTTATTTATTTCAGGTACTTATATAGCACCGTCAATTTACGCAGCACTTTACATATATATTGTACATTCACATCACTCCCTAACAATCTAAGGTCCCTAACTCACATTCATATACAAGGGCCAATTTAGACAGGATCCAATTAACCTACCAACAATTCTTTGGAGTGTGGGAGGAAACCGGAGTACCCGGAGGGAACCCACGCAGGCACAGGGAGAACATGCAAACTCCAGGCAGGAGGTGCCGTGGCTGGGATTCGAACCAATGACCCTAGTACTTCCAGGCAGAAGTGCTAACCATTTAGCCACTGTGCTAATAAAAGGGAACTTTTATTGACTCTTAACTCTTTAAGTTATCTATAGAGTCTCTAGTTTCTGTAAAACAGTACATTTATTGTGGGCTTCATCTAGTGGACAAATTTAATATTGCATCATGAATTCCCCTGCTGAAGGCAGAACAGCTGGTTTAGGTCTGGAGAAGGGGGCACCTCCCCCGAAAGTTGTCAGCCTTCCGACTGTGGTACACATGGTTAGATGACCTCACCTTACGACTGGAGTTGTGATTTGCTATGCCTGTTCCTTTTAATGTTTGTGAGTATGTCTTTGTCTTTTGGAGCCAATAAATATAATTGATGAAAATGCAGTAAGCTTTTGCGCCATCCTATGTCTTTTTAAGTGACAACTCTCACACATTGCACTGAATCTATAGAGGAGCAGTGTTGTCACCCTAGGATAGGAAGTGTATTAAGATTGCAGAACACCGCCCCCTCCCATCATGTCCATACCATGGGAAAAGGGCTTTGTAGTGAGCTAGGCAGAGCTGATAATATTGTTTGAGATGACACTACTAAGTACATAGGACAGTACTGGATTTTTGGTGGGATCAAGAGGCATTTGTTTTTTCACTTATTAACTGCTTCTGCGCCGCCCTATAGCAGAAATATTGCTACAGGGTGCAATGGGTGCACAAAATCTCATTTATATATACATGATTTTGCAGCTTTGGGTAGGGGGCACGCACCTCGGCTGACAATCACCGGGTCCCGACTGGTGATCCCCGTCGGCACCCGGCAATTGCTGATTATCACCGAAGGAGAGAGAGACCTGTATATAAACGACACAGATCTCTCCCCTGTCAGCTCCTGCACACTGCTTTGTATGGCTCTGCATAGCAGTTAACCCTTTGATCGCCCCTCATGTTAACCCCTGCCTGTCCATTGCCATTAGTATAGTGTTAGTGCTTTTTATTAGCACTGATCACTGTATTGGTGTCACTGAGGAAGTCAGTTCCCCCCCAGTGTCAGAATGCTCATCACAGTCCCGCTGCCATTACTAGTAAAAAAAAATTTTAAAACTCCTGTATATATACCGCCATTTGTAAACGCTATAACTTTCACCTAAACCAATTAATTTACATGGGATTTTTTTTAAGCAAAGATATGTAGCAGAATACATTTTGGCCTAAATTTATGATGAAATTTGATTTTTTTTTTTTAATTTTTCCTGGACATGTTTATGAGCAAAAGGTCAAAAATATTGTTTTTTTCCCCAAAAGTGTCGGCCTTTTTTTGTTCATAGTGCAAAAAATAAAAAATGCATAGACAATCAAATACCACCAAAAGAAAGTTCTATTTGTGGGAAAAAAAAAAAGGACATAAATTTAATTTGTGTGTAGTATTTAAATGACCGTGCAATTGTCAGTTAAAGTAACGCAGCGCCATAAAGCAAACAATGGCCTGGTCAGGAAGGGGGATAAATCCTCAGGAGGGCAAGTGTGGTTAAACAGCTATAAAATATTGTTTTCAATATCATATTTACTAGACCAATAGGGAGCAAATAAGAAATGTTCATTAGACTGTAAAGCTCCATGCGCAGGGCCATCCTATTTCTTCAGTATTGAATGGTATTGTACTGTCTCCCTTTATAATGTTGAGTGCTGCAGAAACCGTTGGCACTCTGTAAATCCTGTATAAAAAAAAATATATAATAATAATGATAAATAATATTCTTAGATTGTAAGCTCCAAGGAGCAGGTCCCTCCTATCCCTCTTGTATTGAACTGTATTTTTGCTGTATTATCTCCCTTTATATTGTAAAGCGCTGAGCAAACTGTTGGCGCTATATAATTCCTGAATAATAATAATAATATTATTAATAATAATAATAATAATAATAATAATAATATTACGTATTGCATAGACTTTACATTTTGAATGTACTAACCACAGTCGTCCACTAGAGGGCGCAGACACTATTCTAATCAAACTAAATGAACTTCAATGACTATGTCCATGTGATTGACCATAATTTTTTTTTTTTTTTTGCTATGGAGACCAACCAAAATATAGTGTAAATATGCAACTGTAGCAAAAGACAATTTTCATTTGCATTCTGTCCTAAATGTCACACATTTTAATTCGCATTACTGTAAGCAGATCTTCTGGGTGCAGGGCTACCAACTCTCCTGGAGTCTCTGCTCAGTACAAGCGGTTCATTATGGCCAAGGGAGAGCATAGCACGTACAGCGAGCCAGACACTGTGATACATTGTAACCGTGCGGAGCTGGAGGAGTCGCAGTAAAAAGCTTCCTTTTAAACTCCTTCATAAGAACAGCTGAACAGCTGGATTCTTTAAATATGGACGCGGTGTAGGGCCGCTTGTTTTTTATTCTGCCGGGGGTTTTGAAAAGTCAGAACAAATCTGCAATGTGTATTTAATTTTGTTATATAAACCCAGGGGATCAAAATTGCTACTTTTCTTTGGCTTTATTCGAAGGCGTTTGATATGGGGATGAATTCCGAAACTGATGCATCATGATAATGCAAGTTTGCAGAAAATATTCTAAAATTCAAGTGAAATACGCACGTAATGCCAAACAAAATACACATTTCATTATGGCGTGTTAAAGGATAAGTTCACCTTTTGGATAAAAGCTACTAAATGCAGGTAAAAAAAATTTGCATTTATTATTTTTGTCTACATGGGCCTGGAAAGCATTGCGCCAGCGATCAGTAGATCTCTGGTGCCATGCAGGTCTTCTGCAGACCTGTCAGAATATCTGCCTGCCATAAGGGATGAACGAGCAAGCAGATATACTGACAGGAAGCTTCAATGAACTGGCTGTGGAGCGCCCTGGTAGTTCATTGAAAACTTCAAGCCCACAGCCGCTAAGGCTGCTGTGACTTGCAGTTCATTAAAGCGGAGCTCCACCCAAAAGGGGAAGTTCCACTTTAAGCCTTTGTCCCCCTCTCCCCATTAAGGATTGGCACCTTTGGGGAGCCGATACCCGAATTTGACAGGTACCCGCTCCCACTTCCGCTGTGAGCGCCTAAGGTGATCGGAAGCGGAAGTTGTCCTCCCCCCCTCCTTCCCCGTAGTCTTCAGGGACATGTGAGAGGTCCCAGAAGATGACGGGGCCATTCACAAAGCGCAGTGCTTCTTGTGCATGCGCAGTGGGCACCCGGCTGTGAAGTCGCAAGCTGTCACAGCCAGGTGCTCACACTAAAGATGTCGGTACTCAGGGAGAGAAGATGGCCGGTGAAACCAGCCGCTGTGAGGCCTTCACTGGATTGAGGGACAAGTAAGTGGCTGTATTTTAAAAGACAGCAGCTACAGGTTCTGCTGACTTTTATTTTTTTTTTTTTCAACTGGAACTCCACTTTAATTCAGAGAAGTCCTTGAATGAATGACGTGGCCGTGTGAGCGGAGCCCCACACGGCCATGCTGTTTGTAGATTTGACAGATAATACGGGGAAACCATCTGTCAGATGGAGGGGGGCAGCAGGCACAGCTGCCGCTATGGGAACATGTTACATGTTCCACCCTAAAAACGGGTGGAACATGTAACATGTTCCAAAGGTGAACTTATCCTTTAACCTCCCTAACGGTCTGATTATGTCCTTATTTCTGTGCTCAAAGCGGTACATTTTATTTCATGGAAATATGTCATTTTTTTATTGTAGGTCTGTAATTTTCAGGAATAACTCACTGAAATCTGTCCGAACAAGAGTCTAGTAAGTATCCCGGGTATAATAAAATTTGAAACACAAAATCATAAATTATAATATAATAAATAATCATAAAAAATAATAATATAATAATACATTTAATTTAATAATATAATCAAACCAAAAACACTGAAATTTGAAATATAGCGCAAAGTTTGCACATCACTGAGCAAAGTCGCAAAATCGTTTTCAGTGTCTGATGAGGAATTCTCCCACGAATCATTATCACTCAATTCTGCAAGTGGTTATGATTCACTATCGCTGTTCTCTAGCTGGTCTAAAACTGCTTTTGACATAAAGGGACGCCTTGTCATGGACATTTCTCAGTTTCAAGGCAGAAAGAAGAGTAAAAATGCAGGCAGGGCACAGGACAAAGCACTCGGGACAAAATGATGTGAAATGCTTTGATACAGTAATGTTATACTATGTGATTTTAGTGTATTTTGTGAATGTCACTTTTTAAAGTTTTTAAATTTCCCGTCGTTCCGTCCCCCGTATGTCCCGACGCTAGCAGGGACCGGAACCCGGAAGACAGATGCCCTCATCGGCCAGGGGAGATGGCTGGGGACGCTGCAGGGGACACATGGTGGGAGCGAAGGACAAGGTAAGTGAAACTGGGAATCCCTGAACAACGCTGCAGGGTAATGACGAGTGTAGCTCGGGGTTACCGCTTTTGGCACTGATAACCCCGAGCTACACTCGGGAATACTGCCAGGGAGGTTAAAAAATAGACTAAATTGCCTAAGATGTGGCACAGAGTGGTCACTACACCCTCAAACTCTGATACCCAAAGGGAAGTAGTTTTGTTGTTGCCTGGTGTCTGGAAAAATGTAAACTATCAAACTTGTTTCTGCAGAAAGTATTATCCCCCATCCATGATACAAAGTAAAACATATACAGTTGCAAGAAAAAGTATGTGAACCCCTTGGGATTACGTAGAGTTTTGCATGAATTGGGCATAAAATGTGCTCTGAACGTCATCTAAGTCACAACAATAGAAGAACACAGTCTGCTGAACATAATACTACACAAACATTAGATGTTGCCATGGTTTAATTGCACATAACATGTAAACATTCACAGTGCAGGGAGGAAAAAGAATGTGAACCTTTGGACTTAATAACTGGTTGACCCTCCTTTGGCAGCAATAACCTCAACCAAACGTTTCCTGTAGTTGCAGATCAGACCTGCACAACGATCTGGAGTCATTTTGGACCACTCCTCTTCACAAAACTGTTTCAGTGCAGCAATATTCTTGGGATGTCTGGTGTGAATTGCTCTCTTAAGGTCATGCCACAGCATTTCAATTGGGTTGAGGTCAGGACTCTGACTGGGCCACTCCAGAAGGTGTATTTTGTGCCGTTGCAGCCATTGTTTTGTTGAATTACTTGTATGCTTTGGGTCATTGTCCTGTTGCATCACCCATCCTCTTCGGAGCTTCACTTGGCGGACAGATGGTCGTACGTTTTCCTGCAAAATGTCTTGATAAACTCTGGAATTCATTTTCCCATCAATGACAACAATCCGTCCAGGCCCTGAGGCAGCAAAGCAGCCCCAAACCATGATGCTCCCTCCGCCATGTTTTACAGTGGGGATGAGGTTTTCATGTTGGTGTGCTGTGCCTTTTTTTCTCCACACATAGTGTTGTGTGTTCTTCCCAAACAACTCAATCTTGGTTTCATCTGTCCACAGTATATTCTGCCAGTAGTGCTGTGGAACATCCAGGTGCTCTTTTGCAAACTTCAAACATGCTGCAATATTCTTTTTGGACAGCAATGGCTTCCTCCGTGGTGTCCTCTTATGTACTCCATTCTTGTTTAATGTTTTCCTTATTGTAGATGTGTCAACAAAAATGTTAGCATGTGCCAGAGATTTCTGTAGGTCTTTAGCTGACACTCTGGGATTCTTCTTTACCTCATGCAGCATTCTGCGCTGTGCTCTTGCAGTCATTTTTACAGGACGACAACGCCTAGGGAGAGTAGCAACAGTGCTAAACTTTCTCCATTTGTAGACAGTCTGTCTTACCGTGGACACAGGAACATCAAGGCTTTTGGAGATACTTTTGTAACCCTTTCCAGCTTCATGCAAGTCAACAATTCTTGATCGTAGGTCTTCTGAGAGCTCTTTTCTGCTAGGCATGGTTCACATCAGACAGTGCTTCTTGAAACCAGTAAACCCAAAACAGGTGTGTGTTTTTTAAGGGCAGGACAGCTGTCAGCAACACATCCAATATCATCACACTGATTGGAGTCAAGGTTGGCTCACTCCTGACTCCAATTAGCTCTGGGAGAAGTCATTAAGCTAGGGCCTCACATACTTTTTCCTCCCTGCACTGTGAATGTTTACATGTTATGTGCAATTAAACCATGGCAATATCTAATGTTTGTGTAGTATTATGTTCAGCAGACTGTGTTCTTCTATTGTTGTGACTTAGATGACGTTCAGAGCACATTTTATGCACAATTCATGTAAAACTCCACGTAATCCCAAGGGGTTCATATACTTTTTCTTGCAACTGTATATATATATATATTGATTTACTAAAGGAAACTAGACTGTTCACTTTGCAAGGGACGTTGCACATTACAAAGGCATTTTCCCCAAAGCTTGGTGAATGTGGAGAAGTTCCCATTTGCAAGAATGCCCAATGACATGCAAGGAAAGTTAAAAAAATGTTTACTTACACATGATTGAATGAATTCCAATGGCCCAGTGTTGTGTAAAAAATTTCCAGTAGAAAAGTAGTAAAGGCCAAATTCCCCCTTTAAAAAATAACAAATGCACTATATTACTTTAAAAAAAGCCTGGATTCTTTCTTGGATACACAGAATATAACTGGTTACTAACATTTATAGGTAAAGTTGATCCAGGGAATATCCGATTGCCTCTTGGGGGATCAGGAAGGATTTTTTTTTCCCCTGCAGGAGCAAATTGGATTATGCTTTGCTGGGTTTTTTTTTGTCTTCCTCTGGATCAACTGTGGGAATAGGATTATAACTTTTTTTTTTTTCTAATGGTTGAACTGGATGGACTTTTGTCTTTTTGCAGCCAGACTAACTATGTAACTATATTGATGAATAAAAACATGTGCATTTAGTATTTTTTTGCAATGGAGCCTGCAAAGCATATCAACAGTGATTTGTAGATCATGGTGCAATGCTCCGGCTCCTGTAGATTATGAACAACAAGTGCTCTTTTAAGACGTACCCTCTGCTGCGGTGGCAGATAGGACTCCTAATCTTTTGATTTACAGATCATTCACCCATCAATAGACACAGCTGCGGCAAATTCAAAAATACACAGGGGATTCCAGTGAAAACCACTGGATTCACTAAAGGGAGGGGTATGAGGGGCTACAGGCTGACCATATTTAAGATTACATCCTAAATATGGGTGTAACATGAAACATAGTAAGAAAGATGGACTTAAAGTGGGACTTTTGTCAGAAAATTATGTCCTACTAGATCACCTCAGGCTGGCCCCTTTTGCAGGTAAAACATTAAAAATTAGCACCTATACTGTTTTAAAATCCAGTAACACAATGGGGTTGATTTACTAAAGATAAATATACTGTGCACTGCAAATGCAGTTGCTTTATATCTGACGGGAAGCTCTGAAATGTAGCGAAGCTCTGCTGATTTCTTTCATCCAATCATGTGCAAGCAAAAATGCTGTTTTTTTATTTTCCGTGGATGTTCCCCTCAGTTCTAGAGCAGCTGCACTTTCACTGCACTTGCAAGACACTTCCAAGTATACTTGCAGTGCACAGCCTATTTGCCTTTAGTAAATCAACCCCAATGTCTCACCCAGCTCTGCACATGCACAGTTGCTCTCTATTTTTTGGCATTTTGTCGAAAATCTAGACGCTGATCTGCTGACAGCCTAAAGATTTACTGCTGCTCAGGGGCTCTGGGCTTCAGCAAAACGGCAGCCTCTGGCAAGAAGAAATAGAAACAAAGCTGGAGGCACATACTAATTTTGGTAGCATAATCTGGAATGTATGTTCCTTGCTAAAGAACATTATTTTTAACAAGTTGTTGTGGGTAAAGTTCTGCTTTAAAGTTTAACAAATTAAAACTGCAGGCTCTTTTTTGCAGAAGAGACATGTTATGTCTCCTCTGAAATAAAACAAACTTAACGGCCTTTCAAGGGTGGACTGACCATTTGGAAACTCGGGCACTGACCGAGGGCCTGGGGTCAGTAGGGGGCCCCATGAGATGCCCCTGGTACCTTTTTCATAGGCTTTTTTGAGTTTGGGCAAGGACACAGGGGCCCCATGATCCCCTATTGCCCGAGGGCCCCATAAGTTGTACACAGTACAGGATCAGGCTAGTCTTCGGGGTAGGGTGCAGTGATCCCGGGATGTTGGAGAGTTTGCTGGAGATGTCTGGGATGCTGCCGTGGAATCTGTTCTGGTGATTTCTCTTTCTCCCTCTTATAAATTGTCTCAATTGTTTATTCTCCATCAAGCGTATAGGACCTCTGTTGAACTGTACCGGTGGGGCAGGCATGATTCACCTGATTGTCCAAGGTGTAGGGTCCAATAGGGCCAGGGGCGGACTGACCATTTGGCAACTCAGACACTGCCAGAGGGCCCGGGGTCAGTAGGGGGCCCCATGAGATGCCCCTGGTACCTTTTCATAGGCTTTTTTGAGTTTGGGCAAGGACACAGGGGCCTCATGATCCCCTATTGCCCGAGGGCCCCATGAGTTGTCAGTCCGCCCCTGCGGCCTTTAGAATGTATACATGTACAGCTCAGTGCAGCTTGACACTGTAAAGTATGAATTCACCTGCACAAAGTTATGTTGTTCCTCAGCTGGCAAATCAAGATGGCTGAAAACCCAAAAACCCAGAAGATCCAGGGAAAAGATAGTAGCACTGGCCTACAACCTGGGCTCAGAGGAAGAGGGTTAGATGATGCTGGCTATCAGACTGAGGACATCTAGTGGAATAAAGTACTGCAAGGAAAATCTCTGGAGATTTGGACTGCTGGGAACAATGGAATGGGCTTCCAGTGGACTGGACAGTGTTTTGATCAACAAAACTCACACACCCTGAGCAGCATAATTGATTATTAAGCCAGCATCGGACAGCTTGATGAAGTTCTTAAAACAATTTATTGGATGGCTAACATGATGCAAGACTTTACTACTATTATAAAGATTTTTAATGAAATATAACGATGATAATTTGGCACCACAAGCATGTGCCGCATCTCCCATCCCTTTGAGGAGTCACTGGTTGTTTTGGGTCCTCCCTTCTAGAGTTATAGCTGCTCCATGGCACTTACTGACTCAGCAGTGGTGACCAATTGATTGATGCCATATTGTTGATCTTTTCTTTGCAGAGAATTTATTTAGCAATTTTGAGGGAGAAAGGGTTAGGGCACAGGATAATACTGAAGTTACACCTTGGCAGCATAGAATAGAATGCATTAAGGTAAAAAAAAACCTTCTGCTTTTAGAACAACTTTAAGCTGGCTGTAGAGTAGGTGAACCATAGTTCCACCATGGTGTTCCCTGTTCAGGCCCCCCATCCCCCGTGCAAATCACGTCCGGCAGAGCAGTGCAAGCCTAGACCGCGGACTGCCTACTAGCCTTCCCTGGGTGAGCAGGCCTAGAAAAATGAGACATCCAGCTTATAACCTTCCCCAGGCAGGAGCCACGTATTAAGGTCACATCCAGATATTTATGTCCTCTCCCAGTCTTCACCACTGCCAACTAAGGATAGGCAATCAGG